CTTCTGCAGTCGAACTGATTTGTTTCCGTCTTCCAGTTTTTTTTTTTTTTTTTTTTTGGTTTGTAGGGAGGACTATCCAGCCGTTCCATCAAGTTGTTTATAAATTCAGCATCACGGTTTTTCTGATTTGTCTGGCCAAAAACAATACCGTTGGGGCTCGGCCTGTGCGATTAAAAGTAGACTTGTAGTTCATTTTAACGTGTCCCTAGTAACGTAGGATTTTAACCCAGACCATTTCATATAAGATGGTAGCCACTTCAGTCAAGGCTGTCGAATTGGTAAGCTATAGTGGCAGTTCAGTTTTTCGGTTTCTGATTCATTTTCGCCCACAAACAACGATTAAATTTATTAAAAGTGATACGATTTTTGTGGTTTAAGAGATTAATCGCATGATATTACCCGGATATTGTTTACTAACAGGAGAGATCAATGCTTTGGTTTTAGCTTTACGAGAAATTAAAGCTTTTGCTCTCTGGTCGAAACTCATCTCCCATGATCTAGGATACAATTTGGTAAACGTAGCCTCTTGAAGGCGACGTACTTGGCAACAGAAATTGTGAGTCTTAAAGCAAGCATTTGCTTGTCAGCAAGTAAATTCCGTCAGTTTGTTTGCTAAATTTAGTACTTTTGAACTTCTGGCACTGCGAAACTACTTAAATGATCATTGAACTGTTTTCTTTCTGGATATAAAGCAGAAGTCAGGATCGCCAACAGACTGACCATTAACTTATCAGCACTAATCAAAGCAAATGAAAAATTTGCTAGCTGCATAGGATTGCTAATGAATTAAGGAAAAATTTTACGGAATAAGCACAGGAGCATTTTTGAATATTTATTTGTATGCTAACAGTCGACTGGGTAAAAAGTGGGAACAAATTTAGAGCTTTAGAAAATCCCGAACAGCTGCAAGATAGCAAAGGCTTAAACGTCAGGCCACTGTAGAGAGCGGACGTCTTTTAACTTTATACTTTTTAACGTGCTTGCAGCCTTGTACTTTTTATTTGCCTTGTTTTTACTCAATTTAATCGCAATACCCAATCACCTCATAATGCTAACCTTTTGTTTGTTTAGCTTTAACAATTTGCACCAGTGCCAATGCCCTGTAAAAAACTGCTAAAGCACGCTGCTGGGCAGGGGTTATAAGCAAACGCGCATTTCGCTGTCAAAATTACAAAGTAGAAGTCGCTAAACGCGGCAGAACTAGTAGTGACACATGTAGTTGTAGAAAAATCTCCGGAAGAGCCACATTAATATTTGTTGGCGACAGCGGCTAAAACTCACAAACTTCACTTCTGACATAATGTTAATCTCATCAATGAATAACAAAAACTAGGAGGAGTAACTTGTTTGCTAGATTATTAAAATAGTGTTTGATTCCCAAAGAGAAAATCAAAGAGCGAGGAGTCCTGGAAAGCTATAAAAGCACAATAATTAAAAATTCTCATCATTTCAAACTGCAAGCTTCCCCAGGAAAAAGACTACAGGTCGCAAAATCCCTCCATATTTCTTTTTTTCTTATAACAGTAGCTATGCTCTCTACCATGATTTGGATTCCGGCGGTCATGTTGTCATGTGATACTATCATTTTCTTTATTGTATACTTGTACTATTGCGTGTTAGCGAATCAAGACTGTAATTAGCTTGCTTTCAAAGAATCCCCAAATAAAGGGGTCATCGACAGCCTTGCCAGCTAGCAGCCGCTGTTTTCGTGCGCTACTACTCAAACAACTTCCGAGTGCTTCCATTTCTCGCAGGGCAGAACTTCTAACGAGCATTCTGGTTTTTTGAGCTTTGTCTTTCGAAATGAAAGGGTACTAGGAAGTAAATTAAGTAACAGAGCATTCGCTAACAGTGTTGCTCGCTACTGGTCATTTTTGCCTTACTCCGAACACATCGAACTACGAGGAGAAATTGCAAAGCCGTTTGGATGGAGCTTTCATCAATTTCAGGAGAAATGCGCATAAACAGTATTCACTATCCCTTCCAAAACTCGAAAGGTGGAATGCAGACATTTTTGATTATTTAAAATTTTTCATAGTCAAAGTTAATATTTTCCTCAATGGGCCCAGAGAATTTTACTCTAAATTTTCCTCATTGTGACACTATCCCGCTATTTTTGAACTTTTCTGCAATATTAATTGTTCACTTATTTGGAAAACGTTTTAGGAAGATGCTCTTTATAACAGTGCCTCCACTCCTCTTCATTTTGTCCCTGCTTATGATTTCTGCCTCTGCTTTGAATTTGCCAGAAGCTCATGACTTTGCATATCCAGGTACTACTTCATCAATTTACATATTAAGTAGGCATCCGAAATTTTGAATAAAATCATATTAAACATGCGCCAATTTTTCCTCACATTGAAATTTTACCTTTCTTACTGCATCCATTCGCTTCACTACAGGACTTTTCTAGCACTTTGGGGCTAAATTTTTGCGTTTACGAACTTATTTATTAATTTCTACGAGATTAATTCTTTGTTTGTGCAAAGTGCATCTCCTCGGCAAAATTTTTCTTTGATTAGCTTAAATTTCGCGAAGTCTCATTCAGTAATTTGCGTTTAGTATCTTACACTTAGCGGCTGTGATCAAATTTCAACACACTAAGGTCGAAACATCAACACACTTCAATCTAGTTCTGCATACTGACATGTAATTTATTTCTGTTGCAGGAATGAACTTTGCTGTTGTTGCTGACTCCTATAATGTATCTCGCTCAGCACGTCTCTACCTTCACGGAGTAAGTTTTTTGTTGGGTAGCAAGAGAAACACGATGGCAAATAAGTCAGCATTATTACCTAAAACTGTTGTATCAATTTTCGATAGAAAGAGATACACAGCGAACTTTTCCAGGAAAACTGGGATACAATAGCAGCAAATGTACTGGCTATAAAACGAAGCAGGAAAATTGTGCCTTATTTTTGTGTGCTCAGAGCATCCACGAATGGTATATCCGTTACGGTACAGAGTGTCTGTGCCTTGGATTACAATTACAAGGATTTTGATCGGAGATTTTCGCAGCCAAATGAAACCAACTATGTGGGCTTGAAGAGCAGATATCCATCACTCACAACGCTAATCGACGAATACATGGATGCATACAGAGAACAGGACCGGAAATTCCGCAGCGGCGAAATCTCTCTTGATGCTTGGCTCTCAGTGGAACGGACAAGCGAAGAGCGCAGAAAGTTGGCTCGTGCTTTCCAGGCTAAAGCAAACATCGCGCATGTTCACTTCGATTGGGCTTCCGAAAACTTTTTACTCGATTAGTTGCTGTTGCCGTCGTTAAAATGTTGTTGATAAAAATTATCAAAACCTTCGCAACTTTCTCATTTGTGCGATTCTTTCTGTGGAGACAAGACTGCATTATTATTACTTTGTTGTGTTGTAAAAGGAGTATCAGTTTAGCATCGTCCTTTGAAATTCACTGTTTCACAGCTCGGTGAAAAGTTTTTTGATGAGTTGAAATGGAACTCAAAATGTAAGCAAGGAAGTGTTTTAAAAAAGAAACAGCGGTGGTAATGTTTGTAAAAAGAAATCAGCTTGAATGAGTAGAGGATAAAAAATTTCAATACCACAGCAATATCAGTCAACAGACAGAATTTACGCGGAGGATTAACATAAAAAGTGGCATAAAATAGCATAAAAATTAAAAAAATATTAATCGGATTAAAAAAGCAGCGCCTGAAATTCAGACTAGCTGGCAAAGGATTAACAGTAAAATATATCAGAGGCTTAGGACTACTACACATTGGCGGTATTTCACGCTAGTACTGGAACTTCAATAAGCTGCGGTTAACAAATTTTTGTAATAAACTATCTCGAATATCCAGCAGTTGAAAATACTCGAAAATGTTAAAAACTCATTATGGAATATTAACTACAGCACACGGACTCTGAAATTTATCATTTTCGCATCTCCATGTAAAAGAACCGCTCATTATTTCGAAGTAAACGCAAAATTCAAGAATCGGCGGGCATAAAGGCTAAATTCCATTCATTCATGTTGACCTACCAGATGAGTGAGGTTTCCACTATGTTTTGAAACATACAGCCAGTCTGAACTTTAACGTGAGGACACATTTGAGTAAAACAAGAATCAGAGGCTGACTCCAAGTACTTCAGTGAGTTCAATTTAATCAATGGTATTTTCAGCGGACCAGTTTACGATCCAGTTCATGCTTCAAACCTGAGATTAGCTCGAAATTGAAGCCCAGATCTTAAAACAGAGGGGCCTGGAATTTAATGCCAAGTCAAAAATTTGTCGTGCTTCAAGAAAATTTTCTTAAAATTTCGGATTCCATAGCTGTGCACTCTGCAATTTATGTGTGGGCATGCACAGATCAACATAACCCAGGCTGGAACGCACCAGGCGAGCCGGTGCGATCATGCGTTTTTGCATCAAACTTTG